TTAAATTTTTCTCGTAGCAGTGCAAGGCATCGAACAGTTGACACAAATAGAGTTTGTGGTGTCAGGGGCTCACTTACTACCAATTACTTCCATAAGTTTCCCAAGGTGGGGTTAAGTAGTGCACAGGCACTCTTCCTTCACAATGGGTGTATTTCTCTCCTAAGCTGGTGTATCCAGCTGGACATGGATATCTCTTCAAGGTTTTGACCTGTTATAAGAGCTCTATTGTTGTTTGTGCTTTAAGAGGACTCAAGCTCTAGTTCACTTTTCAGCACCAAAATCCAATTCCCAAAAAACAACTACTGTAGCTGAACTGAAATAAATTCCCAGAGGAAAATGACATTGTGGTGATATGTTATATCTCAGGAAAGTATGTAACAGACCTTAAATGGAAAGGAAATACACTGAGAAAAACCCTGATAGATTATCTGTGCATCATGTTGTACTCATGCTTCCTTCCTAACACTGAAAAACGCATCTGCAAAAGCCCTGCCAAAATGTGCTTGTACACACACACAGGCATTATCACTTGCTAGGACGGTACGTTTTATTATCAGGTTATTTTCCACTACATTTGGCACAGTTAAGGTAAGTATATTAACTTTACTTCCAAATAAAGAAAACAAAGTTGTGCTGAGTGTCTCAGCCATTGTCAATGAGTTAAGAACTGACAGGAGGTCCAAGTAATCAACCCTGTCTACGGCGCTGAGCTTTCCCCTGGGACACCTCCTCTGATCATACGATGTATCTGACGGGCATGGATGTAGAATTGCTTTCAATAAAGATTTTATTTCAAGGTTGGATGATTCCTTCCCAAATGTCTTGTCACTAAAGCAAAGTATGTAATACCTGTTATTTTTTTTTTTAACTCCTGTGAACCAGCATTCGGGAGGGAGAGGAGGGTAAAATGTTGAGCTGGAAACTGTTCATCATAAGCGACAAATTTTAACACGTTCAAATTGATTGGGAGATCTGCAATAGCAAAAGTCAGAAAACTGCTGCATAAAAACTGGCCTGTAACAGTATATGAAAAGGCCTGTTAGCAAAATTATTGTTGGGGAGAGCTGAAGGCAGCTGAGCCCTTCCCAGGGCCAAGTCCTTAAGCTAGAACATCACATTTGCATATGCCTGAGCATAGATAGGAAACAGATATTGGCTAATTTGAGAATAATTATTGGCAGAGTGAATCAATGGGATGAGCAGACTTTGACCTATTAAGGCAGCTCATAGGAACTCACATATCAAATCATTCCTGTCATCCATCGGGGTGAGCAGCTCTGACCATGACAGTGGTCACTAGCACAGTTCAGCCAAGGCACAAAACTGTCCCAAAGGGGCTGTCCTGGAATAACCCACTCACAGAGGAGCTGGCTCCTAATTCTGTAGGGTTAGTTGCTATACCAAGAGGGCAGATGCCACAGATACATCTTTTTTTTTTTCCTTTCTAAAGAGTTTTCTTTGTTCCCATTTACCTTTAATCTCTCTTGAACTCTGTTTAAGTCTTGGTCTCTGTCCCTAATGGCAGAGACTTCCTTAATGAACTCAAATATTGTGCATAGTGCTGGCAGACAGGATTCTCATAAGATCAAAACCAAACCTACTTTTATCCTTCTGTCCTCCACTGAATTCATAAAGATGGCATTTCCTACACCTGCCACTCTGGACCATAATATTTTATCAAGAGACCCGTTCTTACTCTTCTGATCCCTCATTTTGTAATGTGTTGTCCTTCAGTCATAATCTATATTACCAGTTCATGGAAGAGTAGTAGAGTTGTCTTGTTGAAAAATTACCCTAAAATATAAATTAAAACAATGGAAGAGTATTAGGCATGGATGAAACCACTTCTGCTGAGGGTAGAAATGCCCCTGACATTAAGTAAAATTAAATCCTCACAGGCTGGAAAAGGACAAAAAACCAAAATTGAGCAGTTCTCAATGCATCTGGCAGAGGACAGCTCCACTCTCCAACACTCTCCAGCCTGAAATAAAACCCCTTTCCAATGGGGATTTCCTCCCTAAGTACACAGACTTCTCCTTTTTATGTACAGTAGTTATATAGCAGCTACTGTGGAGTAAAAATGGATGAAGAACATTTCCTAACACCCAGTGTGTTTGAAGTAATAATCCAGTGTGCCTTCCAAATGTCAAAATTAATAATGACTTTATTTAGAGAGTTTGAAAAGTGTCAGTTTAATGGAACTAGAGAGCCAACTCACCATACAGTGACCCTCTTAGCTGTAGAGTTGCCCTGTTCTCCATCACACGCTTTCCAGCTTGCAGTTGCCTTGGCAACAGCCAAAGTATAAATTTCAAGTATTTTTCCTTATATATCTGCCATTGACATGAGAGCCCTCCTATCAGACACTTCTGCTGTTTTAATACATCATTAATTTCATTACTATTAATAATGAGAACTGTATTTTCTGTATGTCTCCTGACTTGTGATCTTTAAGGACTGAAGCCATCCTTGAAGCTCAGTTATTTTGGGGGAAAAAAAATAATCTTGTTCAGCATAACGCCCAACAATTTCTTGATATGGTTCCAACATCTGTGGCACTGGATTATGGACTGTTTCTAAAATAATCTTAAATTGATGGATCATTGCTCCTTTCATTTGGGCTTGACAAAAAGTACCTCTGGCATTTCCTTTCACTTTTTATGTTGAAAATGGTGTATCACTCTTTCTGCTCTTTCTCTTGCCAAAAAAGGAATTCTTGCCCATTTTTTCAGGATTTTCTCTTTTAACAACTCAATTTCACTTAGCAGCTATAGTAATAGCTTTAAGTGTGCATATTTGATACTGATTTGCTTTGACTTCTTCTTTTGTGAACAGATGAAAAAAATATTAGTTCTAGAATTTCGCTGGTAAATATTTGTAACTCAAAAAGACATAGGGTCCCAAACTTATAATTATTTTGTTCAGGCTGGATTGAATTCCTTCCTTCTTCCCCTCCAGTAGCTGTATTTTACCACAAATTATTTAACTATTTGTTTCTAAGTTTGCTTGGTTTATGTTTTTTGGGTTTGTTTGGTTTTTTTTTTTTTCATTACTATGGTCATCAAAATGAGTAAAACTGAGTGAATGCATCAAGACTTTCCAAGAAATTTTTTCAGTAAAATAATTCTTATTCTGCTGTTAAGCTATAGACACCCCAAATCTATGCAAATATTCTTAGTGCCCCATTACATACTGATGAACCACAACAGATAACCATCACCAACACACATCATGCACATCCTGCTTTGCTTCATGCCATACCCTCCCCTCCTGATCACTGAGAAAAGCTGGCAATGCCTGGACTTTACCAGGATTTGATGCGAGGGATGGAATCTCTGGGAGAAACAAGGAAAACTATTCTCCTTCAAAATGATGGCAAACAAGGACAGGAGGGTTAGCCGTGAACCTTCCATTTTCTGTGTCCCCATTGGGAACACAGGGTCTCAACACTCTGCTCCACATTTTACAGGCAAAGGAAGTCGTTCCCCTCCTGTGGCTTCAGTAAACTGAGCTCCTCCACCTCCTTTCTTCTCCCTGACTCTGCTCATCCACAGTCCACTGCCTCCTCCTCCCTGCAAGGTGCTTCTCCTCCAGCTCCATCAGCCTGCCCATTATCAACACCTTCCCAAATTACAATGACACTACATTGGTGACCTCCAGAGTTACACAAGATACAACTGCTCAAATATTTTCCCCTGGTGAACGCACGTCTCTGCATCCTGATGTCATCATCAACCACTTTATGAGGTTTCCAACTTTTGTCATGTAACAAGCTCGACAGAAATCAAGTCTTTGTCACAGAGTGGTCCCAAGCTTGATGTACGTGCTGCAGCATTAAGTGGCATCAAGCAAAACAACCTTGTCACCTCTGCAACATTTTCAATTGTGATAAAGATGTGTGACATCCATCAGAAGCCCACACAGTCATTTGGCAACCACACTACTAACTTTTTAGACTTTTTGAACTCCTAAGAGAGGAGATGATATATTAATATTACAACAGAGGAGAGATAATTAATTTTTAAAAAATTTAATGAAGATGCTATATTTTAAGAAACTAATAGTTAAGCCAATCTGATTAGTGCCATATGGAGAGTGTTTTGTGCAATGGACACCACGGTTACTAGCATGAGGCAGAACTAAGTAATTCTTCCTATTTATATACAGGAAAAAAACATGAGTGTTGATGCTCAAGGAATGTGGTGAACGACAAGGTTGGCACAAATCCACAAGACGATGCTTTTTGCTGTGTGACCCACCCACTAACATGAAAGGAACCCTTTTTTCAGTGCCTGAAGCCATTATGTGTCATGAAGTTGCTTTCCCTTATAGCGTAGCTTGCTGTAAAATCAGCAACAGGTATAGGAAAACAGAGACAGGCTGTGATGGTTTTTAAATTCCTGTCTGGAATTTAAAAAGGTGAATGAGTGACAATGGGAGAGGAGGGGGGAAAGCAGCACTTGGCTTCTACAATCCACTTGGAATATTTAAGTTGAAACTAGCAGGTTAAGGAAACATCCGTAAATTCAAATATTTACATATTAAAGTTACACTTCATTCTCATTCTTTAGTAGAGCCATGCAATTTATTTATAAAATATGTATCTTCATTTACTAGTCCTTCCAACTTAGGATACATTATATATTCAGGAGGGTTGAGGCAAATGGATTTCTACTTAGTTTGTACTCACCACTGCAGGGATTTATGCGAAACTGCCTATCTAAACTCCATCCATTAAACCCATACTGTTCTTAGACCAGACTTCTCCATCCTTAATGCCATTTCCACAGGAATATTAAGTCTTAATACAGACACGAGATCAACTTTTAATAATAATAGTCCTTCTCTTGTAATTTTGTGGGTAATAAAGATATCAAAGGTTATAATCCTTACCATTATTTTCTAAGTCATCTCATTAAGGTATGTGGTCTCTGTGTCTTCCAAGAAACTTTGTGTCAGGATAAGGCATGCAAAAGTCTTTAGTTACATAAATTTCACAATCCATTTCAGACCATACTCACTTTATTGGATTTAAATTAGCAGAAGGAATGTGTTTCATATGAGCTCTATATTAAGGGGCTTTCTTTTGGTTTCCTCAGCTCTTTCAGTGCTGGAGACCACGTCAAGGGAAGAAGGGAATCTTCTCCCTGGCACCACAAAAACTCTCCTTTCCTTGTTTGCCACACTGGCAGAACTTTCTCTTGCCTCCCTGTTTTCTTTCTTTTTGATGAGTTAACCAAACAAACATCCCTGTTAGGAGAATCAGTTAAAAAGTGCCTCTCTGTACTTCAAGAGCCAGCAGTGACTCCTCTGACACCCTTCTTTTTTAACCAATTCTTTCCTTTCGTCAACAGGATAGCAGCCAAGGAATCCGTGAATCTTATGTCAACACAAAGCTTGGGAATTGTGTTTGGACCAACACTCCTTAGACCTGAAAAGGAGACAGGGAACATGGCAGTCCACATGCTGTACCAAAATCAGATAGTTGAACTTATGTTGAGCGAGTACAGCAAGATCTTCGGCTCGGAGGAAGACTGACAGACAGGGCCTGTTATTGAAAACGTTCACATCTGTCTTGATGTCTAATATTTTTACATTTCTGTAAACATATTTCTGAAATATTTCTTTTTCTTTCAAGTGACAGATGCCTCATTTTGTGCAAACTTAATGATGATTTTGTGTCTAATTTTCAAACATTGGAATAAAAAATATTGTCAACATTTGCCTATATGTATTCTGCATTAACCCTTTGAGAGTTTCATTATGCTAGCACTCCAAGTGTCACTTTTTCTGCAAGCTGAGCATACAGCATATGGCCCAAGACCATAGAAAATGCTGTTTACCAACATATGCAACGGCACAGAAAGACAAATAATAATTGAGGAGGTTTGTGAAAAACGGATTAAAATATGTATATTAAAAGCAATGAATTAAGGCAGGGATACCAGATCATTCATAGCTAATCTGAGTATAATTTACCTTTCTCTTTGATATATGTTGAAAATTAAAGGCATGATGAATAATCAATTTGTCTACCCCAAGAGTTGGGAAAAAAAAAAATTACATGCAATGCTTTAAAACAAATAAAATAAACAAACACAAACCAAATGAGAATGTCACTATTAGCATAACAGTGCCGAAAAGAAATTAAAAATGGAATTGGAACTTTGGCATTTTTACTTAAATGCAGTACATGAAATGAAGACATTGCATGACTGCTCATTTTAATGTAACATCCATTTTGATTCTTCATCACACTGTACATCTGCCCGCTTTCCCCAGCTATCTCATGTTCTGTAGCATTTGTATTGTGCTCCTGAGGATGCTTTATTGGTGAACTACATTAAATTCATCTAGAAAGAACTTTAAAAAAAAAGCCTTTTCATATGCCCTTAGGATTACTTGGCTAGACTTGAATCAATTTATGCATTTGATGGTTAGTTTCAGTTGTCATGGATAAACAAAAGGGTAACTGTCTAGAATATATCAAATATTGTTTCATTTTGAAATGTATGTTTCCAGCTATACACATCTCCTACCCTGTTTTGTAAAAGTATTCTGCTGATAAAATGTAGACTTATGTTTGACAGCTTTTTAATCAAGTTCAAAGAGAATAAATAAAACTAATCCAGTGTGGTAAAGAGTCTGTCTGGTTATCGATTTGTTCATAAAATGAAAAATAAACCATGTAAATAAGATGTGTGAAACACAGATCTAGAAGCAAATATTTAAAGCAATTAAAGACCCCAAAACACAGGATTAATGCATAGGTCTGCTGTGCATGAGAGATATGTCTTCAATATCACCTCAGCAGATCATGGATTGCCTCAGTTTTTACTCAGCATCTTCGTGCCAAATACCATGTTATTGAGGAAAGGTCACTCCTCAGAGTGGTCCTTTATGGGAAAAAACATATAACAAGGCCTGATCGTTAACTAAGACCAGGCTCTTTCATCAGGTACTAACACAGGCAGAAAAATAACACCAAGAAAACATAAAAATTGACCCCGAGATGATTTTTGACTTCACAGGTGTCTGAAAAAAATCAAGCAAAACAGAGGGGCAGTGACCAGTAACTAAAATTAAAACCACAACAAAACCAAATAAAATCTCCCTCGTATCACAAATGTTCGACGCAATCATTTCTGAACAAAACTACAACGTTCTGGAGAACCCAAATTCACTTTACGTTCGAGAAAATATTTTTCATATTGATGTCAGGCCATGAGTACTTAAACAGTAATGCTTTTCAGCATCCCTGTCTGTAGACTCTTTTAATAGCAACAAACCAGGCACTGTTTATAGCCTGTGGAAATGACTGGAAGAAAGATAGTCAGAAGTTCAGTCTATTCCTTAATAAAGACCATTCACATTATGGCCCCACGGGTGCTCACAATCATGCTATTGAAGTAATTTCTGCTATTACTGGAAATGAAAAGTTCACTTGTTACTTGGAGCCTGTTGCACTCAGACGAAAAGATTCTTAATTAATTAATTAATCTTCTTTTAAGATTTCTTTGGAGCACGGAGACTCCTCTTGTCTTGTTTTTATAAGTAAGGCAAGGCTCGTGAAATGAACTCGCATCTTTCCTTAGATCAACTGGTTTGGTTCAAGGGGCGGTGGGTGGGGAAAAAATCAAGGAAACTTTTGGACACACAAGCCTTTCTTTGGGTTTGAAGCATTCCTTCCATGAATGCTGTACAAAAGTGCTGACTGCTCTGCTAAATGCTTTGTAAAAGCAGCCTGAACATGGCAGTCAGTTTGGGAGGACACGAGTGTCTCTCGCCACAGGAGAGTTTCTATCCGTGGCCTATAGCAGACATCTATCCCTCCCCATCCTGACAACAGAAAGGAATGGCCAGGCCTTGCTACCACGCTGCTTCCTTCCCCAAGAGACCAATCTTCTCCCTGTATCCTATAATATCCACATTAATTTAATGGGAAAAATTACTCACTCAACCATCAGTCAAAGAGCCAGCCCCACAGCTCCAGCCATCAGCAGAAACCAGAAGGGCAAAGATGGTAAGAGTGAAAAAAACAAAACAAAAACAAAACTAAAAAAACCCCAAACAAAAACAACAACAAAACCCACAAAAACAAACAAACAAAAACTAAAAATACATTTTCAAGTCTTAACTGTAGCAGGGTTTCTTTTAACTCCTGCTCAGGTAGTTTGGTTTTGTTAACCAAGTTCACAGCATGTGGGTCCAACACTCTTTTGTTGCTGGACACACACATTTCTAAATCCCAAAAGTGTCCAAGTTTGGCCTCCATCACCATGAGCAATTCACTGATAGCCCCCCCCCCCCCAATTGTTACTTTTTAGACCATTCACTTGGTAGAAATGCTGTTCAAACTTTGCTAAATTTTTAGCAAGTCAAAATTAGACTTGCAGACCTTTTCTTTCAGGAGTGAGCTTCATTTTGAGAAAGGCCACAGATATTTTAAGCAAGGAGCTATTAATGGTAAGTGATCAGAAAAATGAAGGCTGAGAATACAGCAGAGAAATTATGTCCAAGACTCCCTGTGTTTATCTGCATCTCCCTGTGAAGACAATCTTCTATTCAAACTTGTGTGAGAAACATGATCATGAAGCAACTGGGATTAAGGTGAAAGGAGATACCAGAAAGAGACCTCCGATGGAACCAAAAGGACATTTCCAGCTAGAAAGATTTTCTCATGAGCATAAAAGTAAAAAAATCAATTTATTGAATCCTAAACTCCTGCGAGAAAATTAGTCAGTTTTTAACGCAAGAAATTCAATGACAAAATAGAATTTCTGAACAAAAAAAAAAAAAAAAAAAAAAAAAAAAAAAAAAAAAAAAAAAAAAAAAAAAAAAGGAGAAAGACAGACTGACTTGCTGAGCTACAGCTGAAAGAGGAGGTACGAACTCCCTTAAACAGATCTTCATCCCTCTTTTTATTTATGTAGGCACATATATATATATATATATATATATATATATATATATATATATATGTAAGAGCAACAAATATTTTAACAGTCCTTTAATTCTCTGGCAGGACAGTTACAGTTCAGGTAAAATTCAGCCTGGTTTTGTGAGCACCCCACGCTGCTACAGAGCCTGAGGCTGCCATTCAGCCCAAGGCACTCCAGAAGTTCAGCTAATCAATTCCCACAAAGTGTACAGACCACGGGTAGAGTTGGGAAGAAAGCTGGAAAGTGAGCTGGGACCCACAATCACCAGTGTAATCAGGCAGAGTATAGATTTTACATGGCTAATTCTCAGAAGAGGCTGAAAGTAGAGCCTGGGGGAATGCCCACGTTATCACGGCACAGCAGGTTCCCCTGTATGGCATTTCTGCTTTGGAAAGGGAACATGGAGCACAGGGAACTCGGCATAATCACAGGCACGGGTCTCAATCACAACTCCTGGTTTTTGTGGGATGCATAAATGGAGCCCAGGGCAATTCTTGTTTTGTAGAACCTTTCCTAGCACCCAAACTGGATTAAAAAAAGAAACGACTTTTCCTTAAGGAACAAGAGGCAAACAAAGTGGCCTGTGGAAGTCAGGCCATACCCCAAACCTTCACTGTTCAAGTAATGCTTTGGGATGCTACTAAAGCAGCAATCTCATCCCTGTGCCAATTCACCATGTGTGATCACAGCACACGAGTGTCCTCTACCATTACTTACATACTCCATGCTATTTTTACAGTCAGCAATAACATACGCCCAAACATACCCAAAACACTACGAGAATTAATGCCCAATTTTCCTTACAGAGCTTTACAAAGATCTGGTTGCACGTTGGATAGAAAACATGAGCCGTCACTTCACTTTTTCACACAAAACACGCAATGAAATTTAAAAAAATTAAATGCACTCAAAACTCAAGGCATGAGATTGGGGATGCAATACCCATCAAGGGTGTGAGAAACTGAGGAACAGAGCTAGTTGTGTCAAAAGAGAACATTCTGTTTTAGTGCTCATTTTATTCAGACCCATTCTATTTTGCTCCAAGTCCCATCCAACCTGGTCTTGAACACTTCCAGGGATAGGGAGTTCACAACCTGTGAACTGGGCAACACAAATGGGAAACCTGTGCCAGTTCCTACCTCACACCCTCACATAAACTTTATATTCTACACCTTGAATTCACCCATCTAATCAGATATTTGGGTTTTTGCAGGCACCCAGCCCTCCATCTCAAGGGCCAGGGGGCCTCAGAGGAAAAAGAAGAGGAAAAATTTTGTCTTCCAAACCTTTGGCCGCAGTGAAATTTTCTGGCTTTCTGAAGTTTGCCTTTGAACTCTTAGAAATACTTCAAAGGTGCTGGGAAACCACCATCTCACAGCAAAGTAGCCTTTTCACACACCTCCAAAATACCTGGGGCAACACCTTTCACCTTCACTAGAAGTTGAAGGCTTTGTTTAATAAGTTTAAGAGGGACCATAAAAGGCTGTAAGTTCTGAATCCTTGCCAACTGGTTACCCACAAAACACCACCATTTTAGAGCACATATCTGTTAATAATATACAGATTCATAAATTCCACATGATTCTCCTCTCCTCTGCCTGTGTCAAAACACAATTTCTGTGCTCAGCTCTTATCCACAAGATTTCTGGCTGTATGTCTGGGACACAAAAGGAGTATCCCCCCACCAGTGACTTCTATATTGTCTCAAAGCTCACAAGCTTTCAAAGAATCAGCTAAAAAGCTTTTGGAGCATTTTTTTGGTTGCAATTTTGGGTAGGTGGAGGTGTGGTCTCTGCTCTGGAAAGTTAAAGTAACCACACTGAAAATGTTTTGACCAGTCCATTGCTCAGACTCCAGCCTACCCTCTGCAGTAAAAAGAAAAAGGTATAAAAAGTCCACCATTATGTCAGGCTTTCCCACTGGGAATGTTTCTTTGCAGCCCCAGGCAGCAAATGGTTTTAAGTAAATGGCTAACACCCTGTATACATTTCTATCTTTATGTAGTTTCTGTCACTTATTATCCATTTTTAATCCTACCAGGCTCTTTGTCTTAATGGTATCTGATGAATTTCCCAGGTTAATTATGCACCATGTAAGAAAAT